TGAGGCATTAGGTAGAATGGAAGAGGATAAAGCAGCTAGAACTGATGGGATCATGACAGAAATATTAAAAGCAATAAATGTATGAAAAAGGGGAAGGTACCTATGGATTGGCACAGAGCATGTATAATTCCTTTATATAAAGGGATGGGAGACAAAAGAGATTGTAAAAATTATAGGGGAATAAGTTTACCGAGTATACCAGGTAAAGTGCATAGTAGGGTTATTATTGAAAGAATTTGAGGTAAGACAGAGAGCAGGATTGCAGATAAACAAAGAGGCTTTAGAATGGGTATGGGATGTGTAGATCAAGTGTTTACATTGAAGCATATAAGCTAACAATATTAAGATAAAGGTAGGGAAGCTTTCATTGCATTTATGGATTTAGAAAAGGCATATGATAGGGGAGCAATGTGGCAGATGTTGCAAGTATATGGAATAGGTAGTAAGTTACTAAATGCTGTAGACAGCTTTTATGAGGATAGTGAGGCTAAGGTTAGGGTGTGTAGGAGAGAGGGAGATTACTTTGCAGTAAACTGCTGCCTTAGACAGGGATGTGTAATGTCACCATGGTTATTTAACATATTTGTAGATGGAGTTGTAAAAGAAGTAAATGGTAGGGTGTTGGGGAGAGGAGTGGGATTAAATTATGGGGAATGAAATGCAAAATGGGAATTGACACAGTTACTTTTTTTCTGTTGATACTGTGGTTTTGGGAGATTCTAATGAGAATTTGCAAATGTTAGTGGTCAAGTTTGGGAGGGTGTGCAAAGAAAGTTGAAAGTGAACATAGATAAGAGTAAGATGATGAGGGTATCAAACAAGTTAGGTAAAGAAGAACTGGATGTCACATTCGAGGGAGGCAGTATGAAAGAAATGAATGTGTTGGATATTTGGGAGTAGATTTGTCAGCAGATGGGTTTATGAAGGATGAAGTTGAACATAGAATTAATGAAAGAAAAAAGGTGAGTGGTGCATTGAGGTATCTTTGGAGATAAAATGTTATCCATGGAGGCAAAGAAGGAAGTGTACGAGAGTATAGTGGTACCAACACAATTATGTGGGTGTGAAGCATGGGTTGTGAATGCTGCAGCGAGAAAGAGGTTGAAGACAGTGGAGATGTCGTGTCTAAGGGCAATGTGTGGTGTAAATATTATGCAGAGAATTCATAGTGCAGAAATTAGGAGGAAGTGTGGAGTTACAGAAAGTATTGCTTAGATGGCTGAAGAGGGGTTATTGAAGTGGATTGGTCATCTAAAGAGGATGTAGCAAATAGGTTGACCTGGAGGGTGTAAAAATCTGCAATGGTTGGGTGGAGGGGTAGGGGTCATCCTAGGAAAGGATGGAGGGAAGGGTTAAAGAGGTTTTGTGTACAGGGGGCATGGACATGTAGCAGGCACGTGTGAGCATGTTAGATAGGAGTGAATGGAGACAAGTGGTTTTTGAGACCTGATGAGCTGTTGGAGTGTGAGCAAGGTAATATTTTGTGAAGGGATTCAGGGAAGCCAGTTAGCCTGAATTGAGTCCTGGAGGTGGGAAGTACAATGCCTACACTTTAAAGGAGGGGTTTGGGATATTAGCTGCTTTGGAGTGACATATAAACTGTCATATTTGGGCACCTCTGCAGATACTGATTTTGTGTGAGTGATGGTGAAAGTGTATCTTTGTTTTTTTGGATCACCCTGCTTTGGTGGGAGATGGCCGTCTTGTTGAAAAAAAAAATGTATGTATGGAATCAAAATAAGAACATGTATCATTGTATATTTGGTATCAGGTGACCAAGGGTATAATTCAGCAGCCTGAGGAGGGGTTGTTGAGGTATAGGACGATGAAGAGTGTGTATAAATAATTCATGGAAAATTGTTTTCCCTTCCATTTCATAATTAGGAAAAATATCACTCCCTTCACTCCACAGAGAAAGAATGTACTTCAATAGTGTAAGGTTTTATGAAAAAAAATGGCTAGAATTTTCTAATTATGCTTTTTCAAGAAAACAAGTGTTGAATAACGTATTTTCATTTCCAGCCAATCTCTACTTGAACAAAATGCCTGTGCACTATCATGTTTGCCACTAGACTCTTAAGACCTTTTCACATCATTTCTTGGTATTCTGCTGCTGGAAATGTTCCAGCTACACAGTGTTTCTATTACATTATTTTAAATAATGAAACCAAGGCAAATTGCATTCTTATAATATGCAGGTGTCTTACTAATGTGTGAGCATGTTAGATACGAGTGAATGGAGACGAATGGTTTGTGAGACCTGACAATCTGTTGGAGTGTATGCAGGGTAATATTTTGTGAAGGGATTCAGGGAAACAGTTAGCCAGACTTGAGTTCTGGAAATGGGAAGTACAATGCCTGCACTTTAAAGGAGGGGTTTGGGATATTGGAAGTTTGGAGGGACATCTAAACTGTCGTATCTGAGCCTCTGCAAAGACATTGATTACGTATGAAGGATGGTGGGTGTTGAATGATAATGAAAGTATTTTTCTTTCTTTTTGGGTCACCCTGCCTCGGTGGGAAATGACCGATGTGTTAAAAAAGAAAATAAAAAACATTAACATCACAGCTCAAAATCCCTATATATAAATTTAATACTAACCAGAATCTCTCCAGAGTCCTCTCACATGGAGGTGTGAACCTTATTATGCACTCTGTTCATCCCCTTTCATTCTTGGTCACCTAATTTTTAATTTAAAAACTATACCCATTTTATTTTCACATTTAACATTAAGCCATACCTTCAGTGCTTCCTTTCTATTTTGCTTGTATATCATACTTTTTTCCAGGGAATTAGAAATTTTTTTACAGGGTCTAAGGAACTGATTTGAAGAACACAGGAAAGTAAAGACAAATTTTCAATGAATGTAAGAATGAGTTGATGTTTGTTTGACATCTTAATATTCAGACAGAATGGAAAAACCAACTAAATTGTCAGTGCCATCATTTTAACTAAGCTTCCATTTTATCACTCATATGACAGGACTGGTAGTGTCTCCCTGGATGATTGCTGTCTACCAACCTTCTACCATTATACATTTTTAATTTCTTTTGTACCTTTCAAAGTTACTATTATTAGCCTTAAAAAATGCTAATTGACAAACAGATTGCTATGCAAGACTGAATAATATAAAGCATCACTGCAATTATATTGTTCAGTATTAACTCATCATAATTTTTTCTACCTTAATATTAAAATAACCTTCACATCATTTAACCCTAAATATCAACAAAAAATTTCAGCTACTCCCACTGTAGGGAGGCAATCCTGTTCCCCTCCCATTCCTCTCATCTCACTTGTCCTGTTCCTGGTCCTGTCACCCTGCACTGACATCCTGCCACTGCAGTGTGTAGTTGCTAACATTGAGCCTCCCAAATCGCACAACTTGGGCCGTATTAAGTAAAGGTGCAGGTTTCAGGTTGCGATATGGATTTTTTGCATGTAAATTTCATTGTTTTAAAGTGATGAGATCTTACTTCTGTATAATATTGCTTGAGACTTTAAACAACAACAACAACAAAAAAAAAAGGTCTGAAATATGCACCTCATTCAAGCGGTGTTTGTGTGTTGACCTGCCATGCATGCCATAATCATCACTATAGTCGTGCCTCAAAGAGTTCACTCCTTGTGTAACTGGTCTCATATCTGTCTTTTTTGTCTGCCTCTTGTCTTGTGCTGGTCATGACAGGTCCCAGCCATTTCCCTTGCCTATGAAGCAGCTGAATCTGATATTATGAAGCGTCAACCCCGCAATCCGTTCACCGACAAGCTTGTGAACGAGAGGTAACGTGTACAGGTTCTCTACCTACCTATGTATACACACATGTATATGTATGTATGTGTATAATATATAATATATATATATATATATATATATATATATATATATATATATATATATAATATTATATATAATATATTATATATATATATATATAATTATATATATATATTATATATATATATAAATTTATTATATATATATAATTTATATATATAATATAATTATATATATATATATATATATATATATATATATATATATATATATATATATATATATATATATATATATATATAATATATATATATATATATATATATATATATATATATATATATATATATATATATATATATAATTATATATATATATATATATACATTATATATATATATATATATATATATATATATAATATATATATATATATATATATATATATATATTATATATATATATATAATAATATATATATATAAATCTACTATCATATATATATATAATCTATATATATATATATCTATATATATATATATATATATATATATATATATATATATATATTATATATATATAATAATATATAATATATATATATATAATCATATACACCATTCCTAATTCCTTTTTCACCCAAGACTACAGATTGTAATACCAGAGATGAAAAAGATACCTCTGCATGGGTGTTTTTAGCAGATGCCACCACAGACTCCATGCAAGCTTTAGGCTGGTCTTTCCAAATTATAGAATGGCAATAAGTTTCAGTATTAAAGTTCCAAAACAAAAGAGCACAGCTGGCTGACGTACTTTTAATTATTTTACATGGGACATGATGCACGTACTACCACTCAAGTATGAGCTTGCATAATGAAATGCTTAATATCGAATGACTTATTGATTTTGCTTCACTTCCATCATGTCTCCTGTTACGGTAGTTTCACCTCCAACCGTTGAACAGGAACTAGCACCGATCCGGATTCTTTTTATGTACAAGGGGGCCTGTCACCAAATGATGATGCTAGCACATGCCCAACAGGACAGAGCAGAACTTTATTTATGTTTATGTATTTGTTTCTTTATATTTTACTTGCACAAGAAGTCTCAGGTTGTCCGCAATCTAACACCTCTTTAGGTAGCTATTTTCTTTTATTTGTTGCTTAAATTTTATTTTACTTTTGTTAAAAGAATGTTAATATACCTTGGTAATATATATAGGTGCCTGCCATTTCCCTTGCCTATGAAGAAGCTGAATCTGATATTATGAAGCGCCAGCCCCGCAATCCATTCACCGACAAGCTTGTGAACGAGAGGTAATGTTTGGGCCACTTAATGCCACTTTACTGACCAGTTTTTCTATACTAATGGCTAAATTTCATATTTGAGTCTCTTTCCAGACCAGTGTAACAAAAATAACAAGCTTGTTGTTTGAAGGTGTCAAGGTGAACATTAAAGTGAATCTTAACAATGTGAGGGTGCTAGCATGGAGATTTTTCTTTTCTTAACAAATTTATGGTGCTTTTATTAAAAAGCTTTGATATAATGTTATTTGGCTTTTCATTTCTTTCTGCATGACTGTTGTAATATAAAATTTACAGACAAAATCATTGATTTAACAATTGGGAAGGCATGCCAATTATGGGGTAAGATCTCGTAAACTTAGATGAAAGGCAGGTTAAACTTCTGAAAGACTTAGCAGAAATACAGTACTGTATAACAGTCTGAAAATCAGAATTGTGAAAAGTATCCACTCCTCAGAGGAAGCAGCAGCAGGTGTAGGTCATTAAGGAAGTTTTGGAGTGGTGATATGGACCACTGTTGGTGCAGAAAATTTGCAGCTTCTAATTTTATGACTACTGGGAGTCTACTCTATTTAAGCAAAAATAATTAGAATAGTTAGATAATCATAGTTCACTTAGAACATAGAAGTTTCAACTTTTTAGGATTTTTCTTAGTTTACTTTTTAGACTACAGTAGTTTTCTGTGGCATAATTCACAAGACATAGTACGTGTACTCAAATTACATGTAGGATATTCCATGCCTTGAAGATCTATCAGCCCCATGTTGTAAAAATAGTTCAGCTTTTATTTTTAATAAATTTCAGGTCTTTTTATACCTCTGCCTTTCAATTTTACAAGATGATAGTGTTCATAAATACGTAAGTTTGCATACGGATTATGTGCTTCCATCCATTTCTGCAGCGCGCTCTGATGTGTGCATGATCTTGCAACATTGTTTCTTCCATCCATCCTTTCCCCACATTCTATGGTGCTTTACATGTCCAGGCATGTCCAAGCTTAAGTGACGTGCTATGAGGAATTTTTCCACTAGCAGTCTGGTATTTGCCATGGGTTTGTTTTCAATCAGATACTGTAGCTCTGCCCAGTAGTACGATTAAAGCAGTCAATAAGGCATTGTGCCAATTTGTTGCCAGTTAACCTCGTTTCCATGGCCTGTACCATTTAGGAGGCGATGTTTGTGTTTGTCTCTGTTCGACTACAGTTGTAGGTAGATGGCGCTTTTAGAAAGTGCAATGCAGTGCGAATGGTCCATCTGCCTAACCACACAAGTCGGTGGTCTTCAATGGGAAGAGGTTGCCAGGAGTGTAGGCCATCATGGTAGATATATAAGGGAACTAAGGGTTGTTTTGAGCCTTTTGTGCCGCTCCTTCTTGCCCTCTACCCTATATGAGCCACCGCAGTGTGTAATCCACCCACATCATCGATCAGTAAGGGACAGTTGACTGTTCATCGCCACCCCACTCTCATGGATGTATTCTTGGGTGTTAGTCAGTCTAATTACCCATAAATTTTTATACAAATGCGCAGGTCCCAGCCATTTCCTTGGCCTATGAGGTTGCAGAATCAGACATAATGAAGCGGCAACCACGAGACCCGTGGCACGACAAGCTTGTGAACTACAGGTGAGCTGCCACCATTTACAGCAGGTGTTTACCAAGTCGATACTCCCTTGTTACTGTATATTGGGAATGTTTTTTTTTATTTTTTTTATTTTTTTTTGTTGCAGGTGAAGCATACAGTGCTCACTTTGCAGAGCTGTTATTGGTGTTTTAGAATTTCACATAAAGAAAAATGTGTCTTTGAAGCTTTTATGTTAACGAGGGATGTGCACAAGTTCATTATACGGAACTTAGTATTTTTGTATCTTCCTTGTTCATAGAATGCCAGCTCTGAATGTTCATCTGTATTTAACTACAGCCACTTGATGTTTCAAACTTTTATGTAATCCATCAAAAACCTTTTGAGAACACCTCACTTCATTTATAAGTAGTCTTGGAGCCAAATATATATTGTATCTTGTCATTGTTTTGCAGTTGTGCTGTGCCCAAGCAGGTATTGGGTATGTTTAATAGTTAACTGTATTTGTTACATAATTATTCAGTTGATGGATGTTTAATGGGGCCACTGAAGGATCATCACAAGTGTTAGTACCTGCTGTGTCTAAAGAGGAGTTGCTCATGCACCATGTCTACAAGTTGATTGGGATCAATGTCTTGCAGTGGATTTCTGTTTGCACTGCACCCATACCCTTGTATAAGTACTGGATTGAAGGCACCATATGTTCTCCAAACCTAGGTCCCAAAATATTTACTTAATTCTCCGAACCTCTGTACAAACATTTGTTAACCCTCTGCATGAGTTTGAGTGCATGACTTTTTTTTTTTTTTTGGTAAGGGAGAATTGTTTTAACTTGACTGAAGGTGAGCTGTGATAGCGGCTTTCTTAAATGGTAAGAGAACATCTTTAAGAAAATTTAGACATTGAGCTTCAGTTCCTGTAGAGAACCTTTATTATTGGAGGTAACCGACCTTATTACTGTAGATAGCTTAAGGAATTACAGTGCAGTAATTATACGATTTTTTATCATTGCTTGTACATTACTGTTTTGGCTAGAGCTAGAAATTATCCTAATTATCTTGAGGATCATTTATTGCAAAATATTGCTTATCTCAACATTAGGAATATAAAACTATCAGCATCATTTAGTGTGTGTGTGTGTGTGTGTGTGTGTGTGTGTGTGTGTGTAGTGTGTGTAGTGTGTGTAGTGTGTGTGTGTGTGTGTGTGTGTATGTAGTGTGTATGTGTGTGTATGTAGTGTGTGTGTGTGTATGTAGTGTGTGTGTGTGTGTAGTGTGTGTGTAGTGTGTGTGTGTATGTAGTGTGAGAAATGTGAGTGTATGAGAGAGTGAGTGGGAAAGAAGAGAAAAAAAATACATACAAGCCTGCTCCCTGAAGCATACATTAAGAGAATAACATTTCTGAAGCATTGTCTGAACCACTTACCAGATCTACAAGAAGTCAGTGACTGGAAGATGGTTGCCAGAGATCTGGAACACAGAATGTAGTACATATGCTTAACAAAAAAGATAGGCAAGAGGCATTGAACTACATGTCATTTTCAGTGACATGTATACCAAGATATTTAGGAGGAGAGTGATAAAGCACTGAAGAAAAGTTCCATAAACAACAACCAGAGATGGCAAGGCTTGTCTTACCAACCTGTTGGACTCCTATGACAAAATGGTAGTGGGATAGGACTGCATATTCTTAGACTGAAAGAAGGCATTTGATCCTGTACTCCACATGAGACTGGGGGCAAAAATTTGAGAAGCACATAGAAATAACTGGGAATGTACTCCAGTGGTTCAAGGAATTCCTTTAGGAAAGGAAGCAAAAAGTGAAAGGTAAAAGGACACAAATGCAATTAGTCTGACAAAGCTCCTGGAAAGTGAAACATTTCCACAATAAAATGTGACATTAATTGCACTTGCATCCTTTACCTAGCATATTGTTGGTAATTCTACCAACATTAATAAAAAAAAAAGTCCAGGAAGAGATGTCAGAATGGGTAAGAGAAGCATTTGGTGTATCACAAGGATTGGTATTAGGACCAGTGCTCTTTCTGGGTTATGTGAACAGCATACCACATGGATCTGATGATGTAAAACTAATGAGAATACAGTGGAACCTCTACTTGCGAGTGTAATCCATTGCGTGATCTTGCTCACATCTGTATTTGCTCATTTGAAGAGTCAGTTTTCCTCATTTAAATTAATTGAAATTTGATTAATTCGTTCTGGCTGTCAGGAGGCACGACAAAATATACTTCAATATTTCACTAATATCAACTCTACAGCTTATTTATCTATCACAATTCGTCTAATATGACATAATAAACAATATTAATTACATAGAAACATGATATATACAGTGGACCCCCGAGTTTCATGATTAATCCGTTTCAGAGAGTCCGCTGAAAGGTGAAATTTACGATTGGCGAATCCATTTTCCCCATAAGAAATAATGGAAATCCAATTAATCTGTTCCAGACCAAAAGTATTAACAAAAATTATTTTTTTTACATTAAATATAGATTTACAGTACATACAGAAAACAATAAAACAGTGAGACATCAAGAATAAAACAATAATAGCGTCATACTTACCTTTATTGAAGACTCTTGTTGGTGTATGAATAAAAAGTCATTATGTATGTTAGGAATTGTGGCAGCAGCAGGAGTGTCTTTGGAGACTGGTCAAGAAAGCCCTTCAATATGACACTGATATCAACTCTGTGACTTATTTATCTATCACAATTCATCTAATATGACATAAAACAATATTATTAACATAGAAACATGACAAATACTCTAGAATGAATAAAATATGTCATTACATGGGTCACAAGTGCTGTTGTGCTGTGTTGTTGTTGAGTGTAAAAGGGCCACTGAAAGATAAGCCTTACATAGTGGTGGTGAATGGCGGCAGCAGAAACGGCATTGTTAGTCAGTCGCCATATATACCTCAAACAACAATGGAGGAGTTAAATTTCATGTCATTTTTCTATCGATTAAGGGCTTAACTAACTTGTTACACTGTTAATGCTACACTTTATCACTGGCTGACACTATAGCCTTTATCGACTCCTGCTGCTTTACTATCGTAATATATCATAGAATCACTGAATCACTGAAAAAGGCACATTCTCCCCTCTCTCTGGCTTATTTAGCAGTTGCAAGTACAAAAACGAATGGAATATATCTTATGAACGCGTGAGGTGATTGTCATTTGCCCATAAACAATGCCACACTGGCTGTGGTGTGGGAGGGAGGCTGGCTTTATTTATGGGCTGATGCTGGGAGGAAGGCCGGACGCGTACCTTACTGCCGCCGAATCACAAATAAAACCATGAACTGTGAGTCTATTTTTTGCCGAAAAAAGGCACTGAAAGGCGAAATTCACGAAGCACGATGCTGCTGAAACTCAGGGGTCCACTGTACACTAGACTGAATGAAATATTACGTATGTGAGTAGTGTTAGTGGAGGCAGAGGCACAGCAGCCATTGTTGTTGTGGTGTATGGGGCCACCACAGCGACCATTCCTGCATAACTAAATAACAAGAAAAAAAAGGCACAATACCGTGACTGGAACGCTACACAAATAACCCGGACATGGAGAAGTTTTCGATGATGTTTCGGTTCACCTTGGACCATTTATGAAGTCACACAGTAATAATAATAATTATAATAATATGTAAAGAAATTATGTAGTAGTTGAACATTTACCTTGGAGAAGAGATGCTGGGCACATCAGCATATGCTGTCAGGAGTTCATTTCATTTCGTGCTTTTTCAGAATGTTTCGGAAATGACTTAGGCAAGCGTCATTATGTAGCTCCAACGCATGACCACTTGAAACTTTCTCTGGGTGATACACTCTTAATCCTATGTACACCTAATTGCTACACTCTTAATAATGCAGTTTCACTTAACTGCTACAATTTTTATTTTAATGTTACTTCAGTATTCGCTGATTTTTGGCTTTTTCTCCATGCTTGTCACATTTCATCTGCAAGCCGTTTCAATAAAAAACTGTTGATGTTTATCAACAATGACTCAAGAAATCGTAATGACACGATTGCAAACAAACCATACCCCCGGCCGGGATTGAACCCGCGGTCATAGTCTCAAAACTCCAGCCCGTCGCGTTAGCCACTAGACCAGCTAGCCACAATAAGATTCATCCAACTAGGTATATTTCTACACCATAGGAAGGTTAGCACAGGCACCACTGTGACCACAAATGCAAGTTTTTACAGACGAATCTCCAACTAGCGTGGCCGTGACGAACTCTAGCTCAAGTCCTTTCACTGCCGTCAACATGATGGGCTGGAGTTTTGAGACTCTATGAGCGCGGGTTCAATCCCGGCCGGGGGTATGGTTTGTTTGCAATCGTGTCATTACGATTTCTTGAGTCATGATGAGCTAGAGTTCGTCACGGCCACGCTAGCTGGAGATTCGTCTGTAAAAACTTGCATTTGTGGTCACAGTGGTGCCTGTGCTAACCTTCCTATGGTGTAGAAATATACCTAGTTGGATGAATCTTATTGTGGCTAGCTGGTCTAGTGGCTAACGCGACGGGCTGGAGTTTTGAGAGACTATGACCGCGGGTTCAATCCCGGCCGGGGGTATGGTTTATCAACAATTCCTGCTTTAAATCCCTGGTAATCCTCCTCCTCTTCTTCTCAGCACTCTGCTGTGGACTTGATTTCTTATTACCTATGGTTAGAAACAAGAAATTTCATAAAATAGCTGCATGAAACGTAAGGAAAAGACTAGAATTCCTTCACCAGCGAAGTAAGCTCCATGAATTGCTGAGCTTTATGATATGCACTGCCATCTCATGGTGGCATGCTCAGACTAACTTATTATACGTAGTACTTACACATTATTATTAAAATTATTATTATAGTAAGCTTATTCAGGCATACACATATACATTTACATAGATTATCAAAAGTAGCAGCATATGTGTAGAGAACCTAGTATGACCCAAAAAAAGTCAGTGACTTATTTCCTTTGGGGTATTACATATTATTATACAGTACTTATACGCATTCTTATGATAATAACTCTTGCTTGCCATTTTGAATTTTTATTCACACAAAAAATAGAAGATTTACTGTTATGCAGACTGCTGCATTATTGTAATAATTGTATAAATAATGTTAACCCATTCATGACTGCATATTAGACTGGCCAGTTACACACATTGGACAGTGACGTCATATGTTTACTGTGGAACTTCGGCAAAAATCAAACATTACTGCTACTTTGAACTTAATTTCAAGGTACTTTTCATTGTGAAAGCAATAAAAATCATATCTGTTTCTGTAAAATATATCTTCATTCTATCAAATGAAACCAAAAAAACGAGAATACAACCATAAAAACCATGCTAAAATATACTGCTAAGGGGCGGCTTATGGCTGATAAGTGAACTCCAATATTTATGGTCTGATTTCTTTCAATTTTGGTGTACATTATTAAGAAGCATCTTTCCATCATACATTGCCCAAGTCTCAATAAGATAGTCCAACAAACAAATGAGATCCAATTCCCTAGATCAAGAGCAAGAGCCCCTCACCAGTGTCAAGGAACCTCCCTTGAAGCCCGCTCGCATCTGGAAGTTTCCCTCGCGTCTGGAAGCAAAAAATCAACTGATTGACTGCTCACATCTGGAAAAACTCGTATGTGGATGCACTCGTTAGTAGAGGTTCCACTGTACAAACAAATGAGGATGGGAAATGCTGCAGAAAATATTTGGACAAACTGTAGGGTTAGTCAGATAAATAGTTGCTTGAATTCATCCCCAGCAAATGCATGGAAGGGACCAGAAGACCGGACACACAATATAGACTCAGGGGACAGAGGTTGCAAACCTGATTCAAAGAAGACCTCTTGGGTAAGCTTAGTGCCTGCCATATCACCAGAGGCTCACATCAATCAAATAATCTCTGCAGCCAATTCTTGCCTGCCAAATCAGAGAGTGGCTCTAACGAATCTCAACATATGTCATGTGTTATACAAAGTGTCAAGCCCATCTTGCAATACACAGCACCAGTATAAAACCCACATCTGAGGAAAAACATCAAGAAAACTAGAGAAAGTGCAGAAGTGTGCAACAAGACTAGTTCCTGAGCTAAGGGGATATGAGCTGTGAGGAAAGGCTAGAGGATCAAATCGAATGACCTTGGGCAGAAGGATCATGGAAGACATGATAACAACATACAAAATATTCAGAGGAATTGATAGGGCAGACAGGGACAGGCTGTTTGAGAGGCGGGAGACAGGTACTCGAGGGCACACCTGAAAGTTAAAGACACAGATGAGCCACAGAGATGTTAGGAAATATTTCTTCAGCCTCAGCATGATGAGGAAGTAAAATGACCTCACTGGTGGTGGAGACAGCCTTCATGCATAGTTTTAAGAATATACTGTAGGACCCACAAGGCTAGAAGTGTATCTGGCAAGTGTCAGGTTGAGAGGCATGGCCACTATCCAAGACTTGCAGCCATATATAGGTGAGTGAGCACACACACACACACACACACACACTCGTGCGCGCACACACATACATGAACGAGTACTAAAAAAAAACATATTATTGTTGTAGGTTTAAAATAATATCATTTGAGTCAGGTTGTTGAAGCAGTATATGTATGACTTTTCAAGTGTATCCTTACCCAACCAAAACAAGTGTAGTTATTTTTTGCCCTTGTGGTTTTAGTATGTTTCAATGAATATAATAATAATGATAGTTATTTTGCACCAAAGATCTGATTGATATATTAACAATAGCTATTACATTTATACTATAAATTCTGCCTGTTTTTTTTTAAGCAATTCTCTAGTATAAATTAACATTGCATTTATTCTTTATTACATTACAAGGTTTTGTTCTTTTAAATATATGGTCTTTAATGCAAAGCTTTCTTTGCCTTTTAAAAAATGGAGGTGAAGCTTCAGTTAATTATTTAATGTTAGATGACCCCTGAAATAAGATTCTTGAAAACTAATACTTATTAATTATATGCTGTTATACTCAGTAATATTTATTCCCTACAAAACAGGCTCATCTCCATGGCCTATGGTCAGATTGGTATGATCCAGGCCTTGGCAGGGTTCTTCGTGTATTTTGTCATCATGGCAGAGAATGGCTTCCTCCCAGATGTTCTCTTTGGTATTCGTGAAAGGTGGGACTCAAAGGCTATCAATGATCTGGAGGACCACTATGGCCAGGAATGGGTTAGTGTTTGCTTTGTATTAATAAGTTAAGGCTGTTATTATTATTATGATTGTTTGTTTGGAGACATGTTGACGGGAAGCAACCTAAGCTTTACTTAGTGACCCAGTTATAACGTAATTCTTATCCATTGTTTTATGAATGTAGCTATTAGCACTTTTATTTAAACTTATAATAATTTATATGGTTAAAGAGAAACAGAGGCTTTTCATAGTATTTTGGGATTGGATATGTAGATTTACTACCAATGTACTGGAAGATGAATAATCACTGAAAGAAAATAGAACATCCTTGTGCATGTATGTTGAATGGGAAGAGGTAATAGGTTTGAATATTTTAGATACACTTTTGCCTAGTTTGGCTGAAATGAAAGTGAGATAAGTGTCCAAATGTGGTGTTTATGCACCTCATTCCTTTCAAAGATGTTGTTTTGACCCTAGTGAATGCTTTATGATCTGAGGAATTGGAGCTACCCTTAAAATCCTTTGATCAGACTTTATTACCATACATTGTTCAGCTGCTATACATTCCCTAGGACCTATAAAGTTAAAAAAAAAAAAAATATACAAAGTATTTTGAGTCTTGTAAGGAGAGTATGGCAGCTACCATGACTGCCAAGAGATAAAGGGTTTTGGGATGGCCTTGTAAAGGTAATCTACCAAATAGACTGTAATATAATAACTTGCTGCTCTGCTGCTGTGGTAGTAGTAGTAGTAGTAGTAGTAGTAGCAGCAGTTGTAGTAGCAGCAGCAGTAGTAGCAGCAGCAGCAGTAGTAGCAGCAGCAGCAGTAGTAGCAGCAGCAGCAGTGGCTGGTGCTGCTACTGCTACTGCTACTGCTAGAGTAATTAGTAAGAGTATAAAAGGTGAGCAGATAAAAAACAAATGCTAAGAAAGTATTTTAGAATGGTGAACAGTGAAGAAGCATTAAAGAAAATTCTGAGTGCCTGAATAAGGAGTGGTGTTAGGACATTTTTAAATATTGTTTTATTTCAGTGATAAAGAGGCAGGAATTTCATGGAAAAAAAGGCAGCAGTGATGAAAAGTAGCAAATTGATATGCTGAAAGCAAGAGGGGGCAGTGTTTGAATGCTTGGTGCATTTGTTCAGTGTGTGAATGATAGAGGGAAGGAGTCCTATTACTGAAAAATTGAGAGACATCATTGTTCTTCCTCTTACAAAGTGAGGAGAGAATATAGTTCAAAAATTATAGAGAAGCAAGTCTCAGATATACAAAGTACAGTGGAACCTTAGTACTCAAACAGCTCCGTACTTGAACAATTTAGCATATGAACACTTTGTTCGGTAAAAACAGTCGCTCAGTAGTCAACCATTTGCTTAGCACTCTACCAAACAAACATGACCTACCAGAACTTTGCTGTAAACTGTTATGTGTTTCTTCGTGTTTTTTGGTGTTTTTTTTATTAGTATAAATAAGTCACCATGGGGCCTGCGAAGATTAGTGATAACAGCCAACCAAAAAGTAAATTAGTTGGGAAAAATTTGTTTGGTACTCGAACACATTGGCACTTAACAGTCTTCTGGAACAAATTAAGTTCGAGTGCCGAGGTTCCACTGTATATGCCAGTACAGTAGAACCCCGAGTTTCGGCCATAATTCGTTCCAGAAGGCTGTTCGAGTGTCATTACCGAACAAATTTGTTCCCATAAGGAATAATGTAAATTAGATTAGCCCATTTCAGACCCCAAAAATACACTTACAAAATCACTTACAATAATACACTTACATAAGTGTTTGAGTTGGGAGGTGGCTGAAACTTGGGGTACCACTGTAGTATGGTGATTGTAAAATATTATGACTAATGAGTGGGTACAGAAAGTGAAGTGAGATGCACTACTACCTGTCTAAACTGATATTCTTAACAATGTTGCCTTTAATAGTAAATTTTCCACTAGTGTGACCTGCTTAATTAAACTTTTAAATTATTTGTGAATTTTTTCCCCCATAATTTGCCCTTTTATTTATTGAAATATTACTATGAAAACATAAAATTTGATCTCTCAGATTTGGAGAAAAATGATGACCTCCAGTTTTACATCCATTAGTCTGATTTGTGTAATCATTCATATGTAATAAACATGTGCAATAGATTTACTAGTTATCAAAAGGTACATTAGAAAAAAATGCTGTTTGCAGATGCACGTAAATATCTTAATTTTCACATTAAAATAACATCTCTGCCAAATATACAGAAAATAATTTTTTGACCAGCTGTTGTAGCTGCTGTCAAAGCTGTAAAACTGTGCAAGGAACTGAGGGTGTTCCTTACTAGCAGGTCTTTGGTGGGAATATGGGTGTATGTATGCATCACTCAAGCATACGTAGAGAACAGTAAAATTGCAAAAGCTGATAATCTTAATAGAGGTTAACCCTTTCAGGGTCCCCAGGCCCTCTCTGAGACTTGTTCTCAGGGTCGCCAAATCTAAAAAAAAAAATAATTTTTTCTTATGAAAAGATAGAAAGTCTTTTCCCGATCATAATGACACCAAAAGTATGATATTTGATGAAAAACTTACGGAATTATGCTCTCGTGAAGTTAGCAGTCTCAACGATGTTTACACATCGGCGATTTTGCCCACTTTAAGCTCTATTTTCAGCCAATTCCAGTGTACTAGCTGACAAAAATCATAATTTTGCCAATTTCACACAAATTTCAAAAGATGCCAATTTCCAAATAGGGTCCAGAATAAACAAGAAAGACATTCCTGGCTCTAAAATAACCATTTCCTCTGTTCATTAGTTATGTCCCCACGCCCCTCTTACATTCTTTTGCTTTCCACTTTGAATTTTTATTCTCACAAAAAGTAGAAGATTTACTGTTATGTAGACTACTGCATAAGTGTAGAAATGGTATAAATAATATCGGCGCACTTGTGAAAGAATATTAGACTCACCAGTTGACATATATTGGACTCTTAGCATGATTTTTTTTGCTTTTGAACTTTGGTAAAAATTGAACATTTCTGCTTCTTTGAGCTCAGTTTCAAGGTACTTTTCATCGTAAAACCAGGCAACATCATCTCAATTTCTGTAATATGTCTTCCATTCTATAAAATGAGACCAGGAAAACTAGAATACAACAATAAATACCATAGGAAAATATAGTGCAAAGTCGCTGTTTTAATCCAAAAACATGGTCAAAGTTTTTTTTTTCTCATTACGCACTGTGTGCTGAAGGATTTTTTTTATACTGCGCACACTGACCACATAGACCCATTCTTTCATATGTAGGCCTACCAGCTTTCTCTCAATAGATTTGAGGGCGCTAGAATTTAGGCGTATTAGTATGTCAAAAACCCTGGTGCGTAAGTCGTACTAGTACGGCTGAAACCCTGAAAGGGTTAATAGTTAAGGTAACAACAGTTTAAGGGTTATAAGTGCACTGATTAAGATTTTTTTTACTTAACATGGTTTTAGATGATACTGAGAATAATAGAATAGTAGCAATAAGTGTGTCAACCAGACTTTGGCTATTGCCACTACTCATGCCTTTTAACTTCATGTCTTTTTCAGACTTACCACGACCGCAAGATTCTTGAGTACACATGCCACACTGCTTTCTTTGTTTCCATTGTGATTGTGCAGTGGGCAGATTTGATCATCTGTAAGACACGTCGTAATTCAATTGTTCACCAGGGAATGAAGTAAGTTCCTTAAATTTAAATTAGCTATGTTGACTTTTATTAACCCAGCAGGAGTGAGATTTGGAGTCCTAGGAAACCCTAATTGGTAAGTTTTGAAAATTTAAAGAAACACATTCTTGATTTATAATAGATTGCATGATTAAAATTTTTTTGGAAAATAACTAAAATATTTAATTTAGTTTGATTAGTGTATTGAAGGTTAGTTGCACTGTAAACTGAATTGCATTGATCAAAAATGTATATCCTTCATAAGGACTCTTTCAAGTTTTTGGACTAAATATTTTGTACCTATAAATTTGCATGAAAAATACAGCAGAACCTCGGTTTCATGTGATTAATTTATACCAGAAAGTCCAACGAAAACTGAATTGTACGAAAAATGAAGCCATATTTCCCATAAGAAATAATGTAAATGCAATTAATCCGTTCTAGACACCCAAAAATATTAACAAAAAATATATTTTATAGAGAATAACTATAGTTTTACATACAGAAAACAATGAGATAAAATTATAAATCACTAATGAAATGGATAAATGAAAATTTAACATCACTTTTACCTTTAATGAAGACTCTTGTTGGCATATGGAAGACAGTGAGGAGGGTAGAGGGAGGAGGAGAGGTTATTTAGAAAGGGAATCCCCTTCCATAAGGACTTCATGTACCAAGGCTTTATTCGAGGTTACTTCCCTTCTTTGTCTTTTACTGGCACTAGGACCAGCTTGTCACTGGACCCCTATTGCTCAAAAAATCTGTTCAGAGAGGTCTGTTTCTGGCATCTCTTTAAGATTTGCCTAAAATGGGACAAGGCATTGTAATTGAAGATGTAGACACGGCTTGCAACAGCTTTGTTAGGGTGATATTTCTCCACAAAATTTTGCAACTTATTTCACTTTACACACATGTCCTTAATCACTGAAGAAGGCACATTCTCCCCTCTCTCTTCCTCCTCCTCTGAAGCAGTTTCCTCAGCTGTGGTCACTTTAGTACTTTGCTACTTTCCACTTTCATACATTGCTACAAGTTCTTTCTTGAATTCTGTCGTGTTTCTTGCCTTCTTTATCAAAGGGCTGGCATCGGAACTTTCTTTGGCCCCATGGTGGCTTATTTAGCAGTCGCTTTCAGTTAACAAGCACAAAATACGATGGATTATGAAATGTTATCCAAACTCACAGGGTAATGTTCACTCAACGAGAAACAGTACCAGATTGAGCCGGAACATGTGGGATGCTTTGTGCGGGCGTGGGCAGGCGGACATGTTTGGTATGAACCATTGTCAACTCTACGAAAACTGGGACAAAATTTAGAAGAAAAAAGTCGTTGAAAACTGAATCCTACAAAAACCAGGGCATACGAAAACTGAGGTTCCACTGTATGTCAAATATGTAAAAAAATATTGTGCATTACCAATAAATGAAAATCCTTTAAATAAATCAAATTCTATTTATAATGTCAGATATAATGTTTGACCTTTGTGAATAAATCATGTGTGTGTTAAGTTTTGTAAGGTATATACTTCCATTTCTAAATCTGTGGCAGCAGTCTTTGAGGAATTTGTTGTTTTCATCTTACAATCCTTTAAGGCAGTTTTCTCATTACACTCATTAGGGACACAGATCTGTAGTTTAGGTCTTTCCTGAATATTAATATTTTTGAGTTTTTCACCAATGATTAAGGATTAGTTTAAAGTCTGCTAGTGACCTTGAAGTCTATATCTTCATTAATAGTACAGTGGTCCCTCAATAATCGTCCGGCCTGAAAGTCGTCCATTTCGGAAATAGTCCTGTTTTTTCGTCAAAATATTGGCTCGCAAATGGTCCGGTAACTCGCTAATAGTCCTAATAGTCCTTCGTCCTGGACGCGTACTCACGCTCTGAGCCGCCTCGGCCTTTCCTTCCCAGCCAGTGTGCCATTGTTTACCAGTGAGTGACGGTCCCCTCACATGCTCCTACGAAATATTTCATAATATTCCATTGATTTTAGTGCTTGCAAGTGCTAAATAAGCTACCATGGCTCCAAAGAAAGCTTCTAGTGCCAACCCTTTGGTAAAGAATGTGAGAAACACATAATTTATGAAAAAGTTTGTAGAAAAATACAAAGATGGTGGTGGTAGAGTGGAAGCAGTTGTGATAGTGGTTGATGAACATAAAGGAATATCACTGCAGCAGGCCTGTTGGCCCATGCTCGGCAGGTCCTTTACAATTCATCCCACTAACGAAACATTTTCCCAACCCAGTCCTCAATGCTACCGAAGAAATAAGCTCTGATAACTCTATCCACTTATTTGCAAGTCCCAAATGAGTGGATAGAGTTATCAGAGCTTATTTCTTGGGTAGCATTGAGGACTGGGTTGGGAAAATGTTTCGTTAGTGGGATGAATTGTAAAGGACCTGCCGAGCATGGGCCAACAGGCCTGCTGCAGTGATATTCCTTTATGTTCATCAACCACTATCACAACTGCTTCCACTCTACCACCACCATCTTTGTATTTTTCTACAAACTTTTTCATAAATTATGTGTTTCTCACATTCTTTACCAAGGGCTGGCACTAGAAGCTTTCTTTGGTGGTAGTGATGGTGGTAGAAGGTAGTAGTGATGGTGGTAGAAGGTAGTAGTGATGGTGGTAGAAGGTAGTAGTGATGGTGGTAGAAGGTGGTAGTGATGGTGGTAGAAGGTAGTAGTGATGGTGGTAGAAGGAAGTAGTGATGGTGGTAGAAGGTAGTAGTGATGGTGGTAGAAGGCAGTAGTGATGGTGGTAAAGGTAGTAGTGATGGTGGTAGAAGGTAGTAGTGATGGTGGTAGAAGGTAGTAGTGATGGTGGTAACAGTTGTAATAGTGGTAGAAGGTCATAGTGATGGTGGTAGTGGGTTCCTTCTTTAGTGGTTCAGCGATTCTACCAACTCCTCCAATGTTGTTGGAGTTATATAGGGCTACAAAAACCACCGCCGACTCAGCTGCTGCTTCACCACCATTATGGATGGCTTACACTCAGTGGCCCTTGTATACCCAACAACAACACAACACAACACCTCTCGTGACATACGTAATGACTTATTTTATTCATTCTAGAGTATATTCCATGTTTCTCTGTTATTAATATTGTTTATTATGTCATATTAATTGAATTGTGATAGATAAATAAGCCATAGAGTTGATATTAGTGTCATATTCTCCAACAATAAACTTGCCATCCCTCCCTCACACAAACAAATAGCCAATAAGAACATAACAGTTGAAGAACACTGCAGGTCTACTGGCCCATACAAGGCAGGTCCTTATCAAAATGACCTCCACCCATAGTTACCCAAGAATTTACTCCCGTACCCAATGACACAAATCAAACTCAGCTCCTCCAACTCGTATATTTGTCCAATATCTTCTTAAAGCTACCCAAGGTCCTAGCCTCGATCACCCTACTGGTAAGTGTGATGTTAAATAAGAACTTAAGAAAGTAGGAACACTGGAACAGGCCTGCTGGCCCATACTAGGCCGGTCCTTCACAAATCCAACCCACTAACAGAACAAATGCTACCCAAGCAATAAGCTCAGGTGCAAGTCCGACTCAAATCCAACCCCTCTCACTCATGTATTTATCCAGCCTGAATTTGAAACTACCCAATGTTTTAGCTTTGATCACCCTACTAGGCAGACTGTTCCACTCATCAACTACCCCTATTACCAATGTTCATTTATACATTTTATTAGTGCCCTAGAGTCCTTATGGAGGGGGATTCCCATCCCAAATAACCTCTCTTCCCTCTCTCCTCCTCCCTGTCTTCCGTTCATCAACAACAGCCTTCAATAAAGGTAACTGTCATGTTGAATGTTCATTCTTTTGTGCATGTAAATCTATCTTTTAGGTAAAAAAAAAATTTTTTGTTGATACTTCTGGGTGTCTGGAACGAATTAATTGAATTTACATTATTTCTTATGGGGAAAATTGATTCGAAAATCGTCCATTTCGATAATAGTCCCACTTCCAGGAACGGATTATGGATGATTATTGAGGGACCACTGTACATATATGTATAATGAATATATGTATAATTGAATATATGTATAATTGAATATATGTATAATTGAAAAGACTTTAGCAGTATGGAAACCTTATTGTAACATTTCACTTGGAGACCAAGCTTTCTCAAAATCTATATCATGTAGACTTTAGAAAACTAGGTCTCCAAGCAAAACATCTTAATGAAGTTTCCATTCTGCCAGAGTGTCTTTTCATTAATTTCTTGTTTTGTAAATAGATTTTTCTACATATTCTTTGATGCATCAGTGATGTTCCTACATTCACTGGTTTGTGAAGAATCATAACTAGGATTGTGCTGTGCATCATGGGCATGCCAGAAAGTGGATAGACCTCAGGCTGGAGAGATTTATGAGAAATAAGTTTTGAAAGTTTATGTTGCTGTTTGGCACTTTCAGTACGAGATTTTTAAGTGCAGCACTACCACTTTAAGGATTAAAGGTATTAACTTAGGCATAAGCCAGACTTCGGTTTGAGAATTGGAAAGTGTTAAGATTTCCAAAGTCATTTGAATTGTGGTGTCCATGCACTTTTTACAAACAGCTGTTTAATGAGTTAATGCCCTACTTTGGTGGATAACTGCTGAGGTGAAAGAAAAAATGCATTCATATAACATGTATAGCCATAGAAAATTTAATTAATTGTGTATATTCTATACTCGTAATATAAAATATTTAATACAATGTTTTACAGGAACATGGTGCTCAACTTTGGCCTGTGTTTCGAAACTACTCTAGCCGCCTTCCTCTCCTACACCCCAGGAATGGACAAGGGTCTTCGTATGTACCCACTCAAGTAAGGATTACTTTACGATGTTCCTTTTTTTATTGTAACATGCACAGCGTATTTTATATTTTTAACCTCGTATTCATCAAAATGGCTGAAAAGGCCTTAAATATACTGTAGTGATACTCATGACACCACTATCATCCCTTAAAATAGTATGGGAATAAATTTTTAAAAAATTCTTTAAGCTGATAGCACTGTCTTGTCACATATTAAAATCATTCCTAGTGTAGAGAAATAAGATTGCCAAGTACATACAGGTTTCCCTATATGTTTTCTCTTGCTTCATGCTTTGTTCAAAAATGTGTGTATGCAGTAACTCTATTTCTACCAGTAATTCTCCATTTATCATATATATTTGCTCTTATGCAATTGCTCAAACCCAGTGCCATTAGATTATTTAGCAATATCTTTATAAAAATCTCTCTAAACTAGTATACAGTACGGCCCCACTTATATGGCAAGTTAGGTTCCAGGCTACCGCTGGAAAGCAGACATTGCCAAATAGCAGAATGCCATTTTTTCACTTGTAAATGCATATAAATGCCAGATAACAAGTTTATACTAACTTATGTTAAGTTAGCAATAGAACTAGGCATTAAAAACACTAAAGAGTAAAGTACACACACAGTACACTCATTTCTTACCTTAAAGTATTTGTAGTCTTAATGTAGGGTGAGAGGTGAGTAGTATTTGTTTGTAGGAAGTCAGGCATGGGAGGTATGGTAGCCAGCCAGGTCAGCCCATCCTACCCACATATACTACGACATTTAAACCACTCCAGAGCGATAAAAATTGATATACAGTATATTTATTACTTACCTTGACCCTTTCACTGTCACTGTTGTAATATTACGGCTTGCAAGCCAGTGTTGGTGCCATAATATTACGCCAAAATTCTAGCAGCTTCCAATCTTAGAGAAGTCAGCCGGTAGGCATACGTACGAGAGAATGGATCTGAGTGGTCAGTGTGTGCAGTATAAAAAAACCACACAGTGCATAATGAGAAAAAAGCTCTTGACTGTGTTTTTGGTTTAAAACGCTGAATTTACGGTGTATTTTCTTACGGTATTTATTGTTGTATTCTCGTTTCTTGGTCTCATTTGATAGAAGGGAAGATGTATTACAGAAATAGAGATGATTTTCAATGATTTATGGATGAAAAGTACCTTGAAATTGAACTCAAAGTAATGGAAATGTTCAATTTTTGCTGATGTTCGAGAGTAAACAAATCATGTCACATGTCCAATACAGGTCAACTGGTGGGTCTAATATGATTTCACAGATAACAAAAAAAGGCACAATACTGTGACTGGAATGATACACAAATAACCTGCACATAGAAGACGTTTCGGTCCGACTTTGTAAATGGTCTAAGTCAGACCAAAACGTTGTCATAAGCTCCTCTCTTCTACATGCGGGTTATTTGTGCATGCTTTCACAAATGCGCTGTTACTATTTATACCATTTTTAAAATAATACAGTAGTCTGCATAATATAAGAGGGGTCTGGAGATGTGACTAATGAACAGAGAAAATGTTATTTTAGTGCTAGGAATGTTTGTATTGTTAATTCTGGAGCCTGTTTTGAAATTGGCCTTACTTGAATTGTGTATGAAATTGGCCAAATTACAAAATTCTTATCACTTTATTGGGTAGTTGAAATTGGTAAATGGGCGGTTTCTCGTACTAAGTCGATAGAACAAATGGAGTTCTAGCGAAATAGCTACAAGTTTGATCAACTGGAACAATGAAATTGGCTGAAAATAGGGATCAAAGTGGGCGATATCGCTGACGCGTAAACAGCGCCGAGACTGTTAACTTCGCAAGACCGTAATTCCGTAAGTTTTCCATCAAATTCCGTACTTTTGGTTTCATTAACATCAGGAAAAGATTCTATCATTTCACAATTTTTTTTTTTTTTTCGAAAATTCTTTGACACTCAGAGCAAGATTGTAAGCAGGGGTCTTGACAGTGAAAGGGTTAAAATATTTGTAGTCTTAACCCTTTGACTGTCGAAGGGCCAAATCCTGAAGTTGCTTCTGGTGTCGCAAAATATTCGAAAAAAAAAAAAATTATTTTTTCTTATGAAATGATAGAGAATCTTTTCCCGATTGTAAAGACACCAAAAAAACGAAATTTGATGAAAAACTGACGGAATTACGCTCTCGCGAAGTTAGCGACTTCAGCGATATTTAAAAATCGGCAATTTCGCCCACTTTGAGCCCTATTTTCGGCTAATTCCGTTATTCCAGTCAACCAAACTCATAACTATTTCTTCAGAACTCTATTTTTTCTATCGATTGAGTACAAGAAACTGCCCATTTACCGATTTCAACTACCCAATAACATGGTCAGAAATTTGCAATTTGGCCAATTTCACGAAAATTAAAAAATACGACAATTTCAAAATAAGGTCCAGAATGAACAATGCAGACATTCCTGGCTCTAAAATAACATTTTCTTTGTTCATCAGTCATGTCTCCAGGTCCCTGTGATATTACTCTTGCTTTTTATTTTGAAATTTTATTCAAACAAAAAATAGAAGATTTACTGTTATGCAGACTACTGCAATACTGTAATAATTGTAAAAATTACATCAACCCATTCATGACTGCGTATTAGAATGGCTATTTGGACATTTATTGGACAATGACATCATTTGTTCACTTTTGAACATCGGCAAAAATCAAACATTTCCTGTACTTTGTGCTCCATTTCCAGGTTCTTTTTATAGTAAAATTAATCAAAATCACCTCCATTTCTATAATATAGTTTCCATTCTATCAAATGAGACCAAGAAAACGAGAATACAACCACAAATACTATACGAAAATAGACCACAAAGTCGGCATTTTAATTAAAAAAAAACGGTCGGAGTTTTTTTTTTCTCATTATGCACTGCGTGCTCCAGGATTTTTTTTATGTGGCGCACACTGACCACACAGACCCATTCTCTCACATGTGGGCCTACTAGCTTTCTCCTGCCTGATTTGAAGCCGCTAGAATTTATGAGTATATATACGTCAAACACGGTACCTCACAAACGTATATATACGGCCGCGACAGTCAAAGGGTTAATGTGGGGTGAAAGGTGAATAGTATCTATTTATTGGAAGCCAGGTATGGGAGGTATGGTAGCCAGCCAGGCCAGGCCACCCCACCCACATGTAATATACTATGACATTTAAAGGGGTCTAGAGCTATGATGCATATGCAGTACACTCATTACTTACTTTAAAATATTTGTAGTCTTAATGTAGGGTGAGAGGTGAGTAAATGAGGTAAAACGAATAAATGAAAGCGAGAGAACGAGTAAATGAGAGAGGAGAGAGACTCGGAGTTATGTAAACAAGCAGATGAATGTGTCTGGTTTTGGTTCATACACATAACATCTCATATTAATGTTAATTTATTCTACTGTGGGGTGTATTTATCATGTTTATATGTTACATAGCATGTTTATTGTGTAATTTTGAAAAAGTATTGTAGATGGATTAATGAAAATGTTTATATTAACGTAATATATGACATTTAATGTGCCTCAGGGTAATTATTATTGCGTATTATTATTAATATGGCGTCCTCAAGACTAATAAGACACTCTTAGTGATTTTAATTTGTACATGCATGCCAGCACAGTGTGTAAGTTTATTTAGGTACAGGTACACATAAGTGCAGTTATCAGAGTACAGTGGACCCTCGTTTTTCATAATTAATCCGTTGCAGAGAGTGTGACTAATGGTGAAATTGACAGTTTGTGAAACCATTTTCCCCATAAGAAATAATGTAAATCCAATTAATCAGTTTCAGACCAAAAGTATTAATCCGTAAACGGTCCAAACGTATATATACGTTCACTACCCCAGTGCCCCGAATATTTTGAAAAATAAAAAAAATAATTTTTTTAATGAAAATAAAGAGCACATTATTCTAAATGTTATAGGATTAAAATAAAAAAAATTAGGGTCAGTACTTACTGAGATATGAGGCTGCAAAGTTGACACTTAATGCTCAACTGACGACAACATAGTCCTGCCATTTGCAGAAGTGTTGCTGATATACCATTTTTTCTTATTTTTATATTATTTTATATAATTTTTATGTTCTGATAATTATAATTTATTGTATTTCTTGTCATTTCATAATGAATCTTTGTTCTGACACTATTGTCTAGGAATATATACAAAGTATTTATGGGTCCCAGCAATGTTTTGGATACATGGGAGTATAGAAGAAGAAAAAGAAGGAAGGAGGAGGAGAAAGAAGGAGGAGGAGGAGGAGGAAGTGGAAGAAGTAAGAAGGAAGAAATTCCTTTGAAGCAGTGTGTAAGACAAGTGTTCAGTGACAAGCATCTGGGAGGGTAGTGATAAGATCGGATATGAGATGACATTTGATGGGCTGGAAGGTGCAGAGATAAGATGAGATGAGATAAGCTATGACATTTGATGGGTGCCAGCGAGGGTGCAGAGATAAGGGATAACATTTGATGAGCTCGTATCTCTGATTATCTGTCTTTGTCTTATTTCTCTGTCTGCTTGTCTCTCTGCCTATCTCAGAGAGAGCCACTGTGAACCAACAGGTATTCTTATGCATTATATCTACAAGCACAGTATAGCGCTTCGGATTTTTTAGGTTATCCTAGGTAATTTACAATGTATAATTGTATTTGTGTATGCCTGTGAGACAGATAGACAGACAGAAATAGACAGGGACAGATAGATAGACCCTAAACTTGGGGTTAACATCACTTTCCTCTTAAAAGGGAAGTGTTAATATTACATCAGTGAATCCTTGGTATTTGCCCCACTGTTTGCTCTAGCTGGCACTCACTATAACGGGCACTCCCACAAGGTACTAAGTGGTGCCAGATTTTTTTAATATGGTGCACACTGAGTGTTAAGACCCATTCTATGCTGACCAGGCATCTCAGGCCAATTGTGCCAAATTTGGAGGCAGGAAAAATAAAATGTATATTTAAGTTTGGGGCACTAGCGGTAAGAACGTATATATATGTTTGGAACGTTTACGGGTTAACAAAAAAATATTTTTTTTACATGATGTATAGATTCACATACACAGAAAACAATGAGACATGAACAATAAAACAATAATAACATTACACTTACCTTTATTGAAGACTCTTGTTGATGTATGAATAAAATATGTCATTACTTATGTTAGGAATTTTGGCAGTGGCAGGGGAGTGGGTTTAGAGGCAGGCACTAATATCAACTCTACAGCTTATTTATCTGTCACAATTCATCTAATATGACATAATAAACAATATTAATAACATAGAAACGTGAAATATACTCTAGAATGAATAAAAAATGCTATTACGTATGTCACGAGTAGTATTGTGTTTTGTTGTTGGCTGTTTAAGGGCCACTGAGAGCATAATCTGTACATAGTGGTGATGGAGGCAGTGGTGTTGTCAGTAGCCCTATACAACTCCAACAACATTGGAGGAGTTAGGTTTGTGCTGTCATTTTTTCTATCGATTAATCGATTAACTTACTTGCTACACTGTTAAATGCTACATTTTGTCACTGGCTGGTGCTATAGGTTTTATCAACTTTTGCTGCTTAAGTATTGTACATATCATAGAATCACTGAAGATGGTACATTCTCCCCTCTCTCTTCCTCCTCCACTTTGGTACTTTGCTATGAGTTCTTTCTTGAATTCTATCTTGTCTCACCTTTACCAAAGGCCTGGTACTAGGAGTTTTCTTTGGGACCATGGTAGCTTATTTGGCAGTTGCGAGCACTAAAACGAATGGAATATTACAAAATGTATCGTATGAACGCGTGGGATCGTCCTCACTCGCTGATAAACAATGGCACATTGGCTGTGAATGGAGTGTGGGGCTGCTCGTGGCCGTGCATAAAGGTCTGGGATGAATGACTACTTGCGAGTTAGAGGACGATTTGTGAGTCAATATTTTGAGGAAAACACATTACGATTTTTGAAAATTACAACTTCCGATGCTTACGAAAAACAAGGGTCCACTGTATATATAAAGCATGAAATAACTTTAAAACACTTGAAATTTTGGAAAGTTTCCAGACAGAGAGATGCGGTACTAATGGATAATGCCAACAAAATGGGTGGGGTGCAGTGCCCATATTAGAAAGTCAGGTGGGGGGGAGTTTTGGTCACAATTTGAAATGTCCATATTAGCGGAATGCCGTAAGGCAAAATGCCTTAAAATGGGGGCCCTACTGTATATTGCTGTATCATCTTTCAAAGACATTTCATATCTGAATTTCATCCAGTGAAGATTGAAGGACATCACTGTATAGTCTAATGGTCTACAGGAAGTGATTAACTTAGACACATTTCAGCTACACAAACATGGTATATGAGGTGTCTAAGGCTAACCATTTCTGAAGAACTTATAGGTATGAAAATAATGTGCAGCATAAACTTTTATTGGGACACTGTTTCACTCAGTAGAATTTAATCAAGTCAGAGTATAATTTTTTTACACATCTTTGAAAGTGAGGTAAAAATAAGGTAAGAGAAAAGTGACATACAGAAAAAGAAACAAAGGAACATAGGTCAAGTCCTGATATGAGTGATGCTTAACCCTTTGACTGTCGGAACCCCAAATCCTGAGGTGTCTCCTGGTGTCAAAAAAGAAAAAAAAAAAAAAAAAAGATTTTTTCTTCTGAAATGATAGAGAATCTTTTCCTGATGGTAATGACACCAAAAGAATGAAATTTGTTGGAAAACTTAGAAATTACGCTCTCGCGAAGTTAGCAACCTCGGCGATATTTACGAATCAGCGATTTCGCCCACTTTGAGCCCTATTTTTGGCTAATTCCTTTGTTCCAGTCGACCAAACTCATTTGTTCTATCGATTGAGTACAAGAAACTGCCCATTTTCTGATTTCAATTACCCAATAACATGGTCAGAAATTTGCAATTTGGCTAGTTTCACGCAAATTAAAAAATATGCCAATTTCAAAATAGGGTCCAGAATGAACAATGCAGACATTCCTGGCTCTAAAATAACATTTTCTTTGTTCATCAGTCACGTCTCCAGGCCCCTCTGATATTACTGTTGCTTTCTATCTTCAATTTTTATTCAAACAAAAAAATAGAAGATTTACTGTTATGCAGACTACTGCAATATTGTAATAATTGTATAAATAATGTCAACCCATTCATGAATGCATATTAGAATGGCTAGCTGGACATTTATTGGACAATGACATCATTTGTTTACTTTTGAACCTCAGCAAAAATCAAACATTTCACCTATTCTGAGCTCCATTTCAAGATTCTTTTCATAGTAAAACCAATCAAAATCACTTCTATTTCTATAATATGTTTTCCGTTCTATCAAATGAGACCAAGAAAACGAGAATAGAAACAAATACTGTACAAAAGTGCACCACAAAGTCGGTAGTTTTTTTCTCATTATGCACTGCATGCTGCAGAATTATTTTGTATGGTGCACACCAGCTACACAGACCTATTCTCTTACATGTGGGCCTACCAGCTTTCTCCTGCTTGATTTGAAGCTGTTAGAATTTTTGAGTATATACGTATACGTCAAACACACTGGCTCGTAAGACATATGTATACGACCGAAACAGTCAAAGGGTTAATGGTATCACAGCTAGAAGAAAACAATAATTGGATAATAAAATGCAAAGCCAGTGATATTCATTAGGCAGTTCTACTCTAGACTGCAACATTATACTACTTCCTCATTTAAGACACTTGAAGTTAAAGATGTATAGAATATCCAGACAACTTTCAACATCTGCATTTCTTATATTACTGGATATGCATAAAAGGCATACATATTACTGGATATGCCTAAAAGGGTGAGTGGTGCACTTAGGAGTCTGTGGAGACAAAGAACTTTGTCCTTGGAGGCAAAGAGGGGAATGTATGAGAGTATAGTTTTACCAACGCTCTTATATGGGTGTGAAGCATGGGTGATGAATGTTGCAGCGAGGAGAAGGCTGGAGGCAGTGGAGATGTCATGTCTGAGGGCAATGTGTGGTGTGAATATAATGCAGAGAATTTGTAGTTTGGAAGTTAGGAGGAGGTGCGGGATTACCAAAACTGTTGTCCAGAGGGCTGAGGAAGGGTTGTTGAGGTGGTTCAGACATGTAGAGAGAATGGAGCAAAACAGAGTGACTTCAAGAGTGTATCAGTCTGTAGTGGAAGGAAGGCGGGGTCGGGGTCGGCCTAGGAAAGGTTGGAGGGAGGGGGTAAAGGAGGTTTTGTGTGTGAGGGGCTTGGACTTCCAGCAGGCATGCGTGAGTGCGTTTGATAGGAGTGAATGGAGACAAATGGTTTTTAATACTTGACGTGCTGTTGGAGTGTGAGCAAAGTAACATTTATGAAGGGGCTCAGGGAAACCGGCAGGCCGGACTTGAGTCCTGGAGATGGGAAGTACAGTGCCTGCACTCTGAAGGAGGGGTGTTAATGTTGCAGTTTAAAAACTGTAGTGTAAAGCACCCTTCTGGCAAGACAGTGATGGAGTGAATGATGGTGAAAGTTTTTCTTTTTCGGGCCACCCTGCCTTGGTGGGAATCGGCCAGTGTGATAATAAAAAATAAAAATAATGCCTAAAATCTCCCAAACTTCTTGTTATTCTGCAAAAATGCTTCCCCCCTCCCCCTCTGTAGCTATGCCTTCAGTCTTAAGACAACTGAATAAGCAGCCACTGCCCACCTCTATCTTTAATGTTCTTGATGTTACTTTTCTCAAGAGGTCACCAGGGAGAGGAGGGGGATGCTACCTCATCTTCTTTATTGTTGTCTTTTTTTTTTAATGACATCTAATATATTCCTACTTTTGCTAGGCTTTCCTTTATTCTTGCTAATTTTTTATACAGAATGCAGTGGACCCTCGAGTTTCGTAAGCCTCGCGCTTCATAAATTTCGCCTTTCGACAACTTTTTTTTTGTCAGAGTATAGCCTCGCACTTCATAATTTGCCTTGCCATTCATCAGTCGTCCGGAATGCGTACGAGCAGCCTCCCAGTATCCGTGCTACACAAAGGCATTGTTAATTGGCGAGTGACCATCACCCCACTAATTCATAAAATACATTTCGTAATACATATTCCATTTTTTGTGCTTGCAACTGCTGAATAAGCCACCATGGGCCCAAAGAAAGCTTCTAGTGCCTTCTACTGCCATTGATAGTTTTAAAAATTCCTTGTATAATCAATGCAATTTTTCATAACAGGTTTTATTGGTGGCTGCCAGCACTCCCCTTCTCACTTCTCATCTTCATTTATGACGAGTGTCGACGATTCATTTTGCGCAGGAGGCCAGGAGGATGGATGGAAATGGAAACCTACTATTAAGTTTATTGAGCATAAGTTAGAAATACATCAGCAGCAGCCTCCCCAATAATGGAAATTTATTTGTAGTTGAGCCTGAGAATTTTTAGTGAAGCAGAGTGTTGGTTGCTCTGTAATGTGCTCTCCTGTATGATTCCATATTTATGTGTTACTTACTGAGGATTTTAATGTCATTATGGTTGTTTATAATTTTCCCCATTGTTATATATAAGATTTGCAGTAAGTAACATAGAGATATTTGTACAGAATCCTGGTGAAGGATGTAATAAAGACAAAAGTGACACTTCAAGAATGCACCAGAACTTTTAATTGAGGTTTAAATAACCTCTCTTAACTCCTCTTCCAGGTTGCAGGTGTGAGAAAGCAAAGAGTCTCGTGAAAATTATGAAAAAGGTATTATAATTGATAATAATTAAGATAAAAAAAATATATAAATATATATAAATATATATAAATACATATAAATACATATATAAATATATACATATATACATTATATAAATATATATTTATATATATATATACATATATATAAATCCATATATAAATACACATATATATACCTAAATATATAAACAAAATTTATACACATACACAAATGGTATACATACATACAAATACACATTTAATGTCTATTCAGTGGCTCAAAAGATTATAATCTACAATGGTCTGAGGTTTTGAAAGGGAAACATTGCTTTCTCACACCTGTAGCCCTGGTGAAGTTTGTCTCATCTGTTAAAATTTTGTGTAAATTTTAGTGCACATGAGTAGAAGTGTGATGGCTACAAAATTGGAGCCAAAATAAAGTGTAAAAAATAGTGTAGATAGTCTATAGACAGCCCCAATCTTCATGAAACTACCTAGTTTGCAAGACTGTTTTCATAATGATCATAATCATTTATTCAGAGTAGAGTTGTTACAGCTGTACTGCTCAAACCTTGTCCCACAATCGTTGATTAATGTTTTAATGATTAAGTTTATTTTATGTTATCCCTCAATGGACATGTATAAACATTTTTGCAAATGTGCAGTAAAATCTGAGAATACATTTTAACCTAAAAAGGAAATAAGTAATTTAATTTTATCCCTTTACACAGTAATGCCTTATAATCTGCTCTAAACATTGCTTTGGTTTGTGAAATTTGTCTAAAGTGACACATTGGGTCCATAACATTCCACACTAAAGTCCTGTATCAGCTTTTCATCGTTTCCGTTTTTATTCGTTCTAGAAGCCTGTCATTGGTAGAGGTAGTTTTTCATCTAGATAAAAGGTATGCAAAAATTCTTAGCTCCAAACCTTTATGCTTTGTACCTTGAGTAAAGCCCATTTAGAAAGTGTGCATGTATTAGAACGAATGCATGACTACAATATAATAAAGTACTGATTTTCTTCATTGTTAACCCAAGAGCATTCATCATAACAAAATTGAGCCTTCTACCTCTGTAGTTCCTGCTCAGCTTCTACCAAGTCATGTTGAAGCTTAGTTTTTGGTGTAAACAGATTTAGTTTGTGTGTAGATGAATTAAGAGTGGTTGAAAAATCTGGTTGTCTAATGTTTAACCATTCAGAATGAATCTCAGTGTCAATAAAACTGACTTGTGTTTACCACAAAAACTGTGCTGAAATTAGCTGCCAGGTGTAGGATCTCGTTGTTTTAGTTTAAATTATTTGATCATACTGTATGTGAACTGTTGGAGGTTTTTTGTCGAGACTTGTGACAAGCAAGGAACCATTGCCTCTGCGTGACCTGCAGCAAAACACTGTGGTTCAGTGTGGTAGCCAATAGTGTGATTTCATTTTCGTCATCCTTCCAAGCTTCGTACTAAAGCAACTAGCTGTGGGTCGGCCTTTGTACATAGGAGATACAGATATCATAATAATTAATAGTAAGAATATTAAATATCAAGGCAACTATATCTTGTTATAAAGCAGCACTAATGTCACACATCTATTTTTCTTGATGGAGGCAGGGGAGGAGCTTACGTGTGTTCGATTAGAAAGACTAATTTTGGGGCACCAGGAGTGCTCACACCATCCAGAGGATACTAAGGGAATGTCATTTTGTTCCAGAGTTAAGTTTCATGTTATTCCCTGCCTCAGTTTCCATGTTCATAAAGGGAAAATTTTGAAAAGTGGTCACAATATTATCAGTTATTTTAAAATTCAAGACTGGATCCACTTATCGTTGGATTCAACAATAAAGTGTTTGAAAAAGTCTAGTTTCTTTACTCCTGCTACAGAGTTATTACAGTTTAGGCTCAAAATATTAATTACAGTTGTAGATATATTACACATAAGCAGAAACACTTTCTGTAGATAATACAATACATGAGTAGAAATGCTTTTTGTAGATAATTAACTGCAAGAACCTCAGAACTTTTTGTAGATAATAAATTACAAAGGAGGGGTTTAGGATACTGGCAGCTTGGAGGGATATGTTATATATCTTGATATATGCTTCTAAACTGTTGTATCTGGGCTCCTCTGCAAAGACTGATTATGTATGAGTGAGGTGAAAGTGTTGAATGCTGATGAAAATATTTTCTTTTTGGGGATTTTCTTTCTTTTTTGGGTCACCCTGCCTCAGTGGGAGGTGGCCGACTTTTCGAAAAATAAAAAAATTACTTAACCCTTTCACAGCATTGTTTACCCATTGTTCACAGCATTGTTCACATGATCAGCAAAGCTGTTCATGTGAACTTGAATGTTTTAAAAGGACACTTCATGTGAGGTTTCTTAATGTTGAAGGCTGAAGCTTCCTTATGCTGGTGTCTTGATCTATGGGACTGTAATAATGTTAAAAGTCTCTTGATTTGAGAAAATGAAGCTACCCTCCCCTTAGATTGCTTCCCATTGCCCAGGTACAGTATAACCCTTACTCATTAGCACTATCAATAAATTAATAAGTTTAATAAGAGAAATTAAGTTATTGTATCAGGCACTTATTTTCCCTAAAAAATTTTTAATTTGTTAATGCCGAGTTTTTATACCTAAATAGTATATATAAAAAGGCCAGAAGTATTTTAAACAGTTATATTATACAACAATTGGAGCTTCACAGTTTTTATTGTATATACAGTTGACATTTAGTTATGATGGAAGTTACACTCATGAAAAATTGGCATTGATAAATCACTAAAACAATTGAGGAAACATATGAAAAAATAGGGTAATGTTCAATGAACCCCCCAAAATGGCAAACAACTTTTTTTTTTTTTATTTTTTGGTCTCCAAACTGTAAACAAATAAAATTGTTATTGTAGCTGGTTGTCCACATGTATTGTTTAATGCATTAAGGCTGTGAGTGTTACAGAAATAATATTACCTTGAATTGTGGTTGCTGGTGTATGTTGATAATTCTGAACAATGGAGAGGGATGCATTGACCCTACTGAGCTTAGGTGGATGGTTGTAGCTTGTCAGCCGTATGGTTGTGGATTGTCAGCTTGATGGTCGTGGACTGTCAGCTGGATGGTCATGGATTGTCAGCTGGGTGGTTATGGATTGTCAGCTGGATGGTCATGGATTGTCTGCTGTATGGTTGTGGATTGTCAGCTGGATGGTCATGGATTATCAGCTGGATGGTTGTGGATTATGAGATGAGGTGGATGGTTGGAGATTGTTAACCAAGACATATGGTTGTGGATTGTCACCTCTTTAAGGGGGGGGGGGTTCCTTGTCGTGGTAAAGAGGTTATTGGTCTTAGGAATTGGACCTTTTCGTCTTCTTCCTCAGACTGAACCTAATTACCTCCCCTTAGTCCCCCTTTCCCTATCCCATCCCTCTCCTCCCTTTCCTCCTCCTCCTCTCCCTATCCCCTTCTTGTTTTCAACCTTTGGGGAGGGGGAAGGGTACTGTGGTCCAACCCATACCATTGAGGTCCTTGGTGGTGGTGTAGTTTTCAGTGGAATCTGGATCAACTTGGGATGTCCCATTCCCTCTCCGGTTCTCGGGGGGTGGCTCTGGGTGTCTTTCTGGAGGCTGCCTGACGGATTCCGGGAGGTGGTAGCTGAAGGAGGTATTCTTTGTGGCGGGCATCCGGCTGCTCTCTCTCTCTTGTCCACTGAGGTGGCTCAGTAGATGTGAGGTTGCTATCCCAGATTGCTAGTTTACTGGCATGAAAGGTAGGGTATGGCATGGGTCCCATGCCACATCTGCACTGCTTGTGATACTGGGGTTCTCTTGGGCACGGAGACAGATTTACGGCCCTTTCGTTCCTCCTTGGAGCTATCCCTCCACATTCCCCCCCATTTTTTTCCTTTTTTTTTCTTGTAAGAAACAAAAATGACAACCATGGAGTCCTAAATCCACGAACCAGCTCCTCCCAGGCCCCTTTCTGCTAACACACCCTGTTCTGACCCTATCTCATTATCTGACCATTCTTTGGACCTTTCCAATGCCCTTGTACCTTCTGCTGGTGCCATTTCATCACCAGCTTCAGGTGCCGAGGTTCCATCTGGCTCCTTTGGTACATCCGACCTCCACACTTCTTGACCATGCTTCCAGCTTCTCCCTATAAGGTGTGATGATTCTCAGATCACCCGTTCATCTTAAGTCAGACCAATTCCAGTTCCACACCTAAACAGCCAAGACCATTAACTGACGATATTACTGTTACTTCTCACTCTGCTCAGAAAAAACTGGCATGACACTTGCTTCCCTTACACACTACGTTTCAAAGGGCTATATGACCCTTGTAGGTTTAGTGCTTCTTTTTTATTGTAATACGACATCTACTATCTTTCAGATCACAGTATTGGCAAGGCGCTCCTATGCCACATTGGTCAAAATATTTCATTTCATGCTCTCAAAGAGCGATGCATGCACCACCACGGTAGCCATGCCCACAATCTTTCTCTCCTTACCACGGTATATGCTATCCCTGTAACAATTCAAAAACACCACTTTCTCAATTCTTGTAGTGGTACCGTCATTCTACCTCATACCATTGTTCAACATAACTTCCAGACATGTGGTGATGACATTCTTGAACAACTTGAGCTCCAAGATCTCCCAGTTCTCAAAGACGTATGTACTACCTGCCCACGGGCAGAGATGCTACCCCTGCAATGTAGCTCGCTTAACTTTTGACTGTCATGAGCTTCCGTCCTCTGTTTATATTGCTGGACACGGTTTCCAAGTCTGAGAGTTGATCCCTACACCACAACAGTGCAGAAATTGCTGGTGCTTTGGCCACCCAGCAAAACATTGCGGGTCCATGACAGAGTGCCCAGTCTGTAGTGCTGATGACCATACAAAGAGAAAGAAGGTTTCACATATGCCATAGCAGTCTCTCATCTTCGCCTCCAGGGAATACTTCCACAACGTTCTTACTCTAGAGTTATTAAGAGATCTCCAACCTTGGTAGTACCTATTTCCATTGTCTCTAGTGTCACAACTTCCTCAGTCACCTCTATCTCTAACTCTCTTGCAGTCCTCGCCTCCGAGGTCCCTACCTCAATGCCTAATACTGTTCATGAATCTTCATTTTCTCGTTCGCATGTTTCTATATTTACAAGACCTCACACAACTGCACCTTCCCTTCATCTATTTCTTTGAAGTTTAAACCATCACCAAAGTTCAAACTTCCTTTTACCCCTTCTTCACATAGCCTTTCCAAACATTTTTTCTTTCCAGTCTCTGTACCTAGTTCTTTACCTCTTATACTAGTTCTGTTACGAGTATAGAGTTCGTTCTCCCCCTCGTACAGTCCCCTCCTCTCCAGCCCCCTCACAAGTTTCTTCCTCTCCTGTCCCCTCAAAAGTTCCTTCCCAAGTTACCCTCTCATCCCCTCCTCCCTTCTTTGGTATCTTCCATCATCTCCAATCTATACTCACCTTCCCCCTTCTACCTCTGATGTCATACTACATGCAACTTCCTTGTCCTCTGAAACACTTGAAGCTGTCTCCGAATATATTGAGAAGACAAAACCATTGATGGACACTGATCCATCTCCCATCTCTTCTCCTTACTCATGTAAACCATCTTCTTCTTCTGTTGGGTTTCAGGGCCACTGACAGCATATGCTGTATCGAGCCTGGCCGTCCAGTGCTAGGAGAGGGAATATTGACCAAAGTGGAAGAATGTCTTGACTAATAACTATGTATCATATGTCTCTGATACACCCTGAAGCCAGCAGGAAGGAGCAGGTACAGGCCAATATCTCCTGATGGTCCAGAGAGCGAAACCCCTCCCCATTGAGGAGGACAGGTAGAGTGAAAGTGTGCACCCCAAGTGTGCGCAACTCTTCTTCGCAGCATTTCAGTCCTTCGCTGCTTACTCATTTTCCCCTACCTCCACACAGACTTTCATACTCCTACTAGTCCGTAGACAGCTACTGCTTCATTTTCCTGATATGCTTTTCTGACAAATCATGGTTTATTTACAGTGGAATATCTGAGGCCTCGGGTAATTGCGGTGAGCTTCAGGTGTTGCTCTCCCAGTTTTTACCTGTTTGTGTCTGTTTACAAGAACCTAAATTATGCTCTGCTGTTATCCATCCCATCTCAGGCTGTTTTATTACATTCATCTGATCCTTATCCCGATGGAGCTCTTAACAAACATGCACCCCTTGGGTTGCACTGGTGTATACCTAACCATCAGATATTTCACTATCTTCACTGCATTACCACAGCGGCCAACATATACTTGAACAAGTGGTATACAGTATGTTCTTGTATCTGATTTACTTCTTCGAGACTTCACTCATTTATCACAGATGTTGCAATTCTTGTTTCTTCGTTACCACCGCCTACTCTGTTATTAGGTGATTTTAATGCTCATTTCCTCCGGGGGAAGTCTCACTGTGACTCGTGGCAATCAGTTAGAGGCTCTTCTCACTTCTCTTCCCCTCCATGTTTTACATACTGGTGCTCCCACCTATTTTGACCCTTGCACTCAATCTCTCTTGCATTGATCTCTCTATTTGTTCTGCATCAGCTGCACTTGACTTTACCTGGTCTGTGCTCCTAGATTTACATGACAGCGATCATTTTCCTATCCTCCTTCCTTTCCATTCATATTCTCACCTTCCTTGAGGCCGACACTGGCAGTTTGAATGCACAAATTGGGATCTATACCCACGCCAAATTGTTTTAGTGAGGACCCTTTCATCATCCTTTACTGATGAGCTGTTTACACTTATTTTCCCTCAGTTTTAACCACAGCTTCACATTCTGTACCTCAACCTCGATCAAGCATTCTCAGAAATGCGTG